TAATAAATTTTAGTTCACTGGAACAAGCACTTCACGTGCAGGAAAATCAAGATCAAATTTTTCATCATCTGCAGGTGAATGATAAGTACTTATAATTGTATAACGATCTTTGCGTGCAAGATTTTGCGTGGAACCATGTACAAGTCTATCGGGAAAGAAGACTCCGCTACCACGTTTGATCGCGCATGTAACTACATCATCCTGATTGATATCATTATCGGCTATTTCATAGATAAATTCACCATTTGGTAAACCTTTGTTTATCATTGTCCAATCTTTTTTGTGACTACCACGAACTACAGTAAGTGTACCATTCTCGGCATTGACATCATCTAATGGAATCCAAACAGAAAGTTTCGGACGTGTATTAGGCCAATAGAAGCGATCCATGTGCCAAGGTGTGGCGAATGTTTTCTCAGTTGTTTTAACGACGATTTTATCGCTTAAAAACATAACACCATCCGGCATAATCTTCTTCAAAATAGTCACCAGACGAGGATCCTTGTGATATTGTGTAAATAGTGGACTTGCAACTGAAGCATGTACATAAACAGATGCGTCAGAACGTGCTTTTTCTGCGAATACTTTCTGAGCTTCCATTTTAAGTTTATTGCATTCTTCGCCATCAATTAAATCAGGAATAATAACAAAACCATCACGTTCATAACGATCGAACAGATGATCTAACGACATCAGGTAATATATCAATTAGTTGATAGCGATATTTCTATTGTTTTGTCTCTATTAGTTCAAGAAAGATTTAAACAATGGATTGAAGAATATTGTGCGACGACTTACTTTCTTTTATGTCTACACGTGAAAATACGAGGCAAAGGCCTTGTCTACACTAGAGAAGTAATGCAGCACTGGTTTAGAACTATATCGACATGTATCTATCCCTTATAGTTAATGCACCAATAAAAAGTTAGATTGTGCCCCTATGATGTAGTCGAAATGCATAAATACTACACACTTTTGCAAAAGCAAATATTGCATTTGTTATTTCCAAGGTCAATAATTCCGATAAGAACCTGCAGGAAAGACGCCGTTTTCAGCCAGATCATGATAAGCTCAATCAACATCTTCATGCTTCCAAGTTCCTGCTATTTTTCGGTCGCAATCTGCCGTAGCTCATTTACGGTCGTGGTAAACAATTAGAGAGAAATCAGCCCTAGTATCATTCTTTCTCTAACTTTATTTCACGTATTTTTATAGGAGCACATTTTATTTCTTTTTCATTAATGAGAACAATGTGGATTTGATTGGTGCATTAAAGTTAGTTCATTCCTCGAAAGTGCATTAAATATGAATTAAAATTTTAAGCAATGAAGCCTCTTAAGGGGGAACCCCCCCTTCGAAAGTCGTTTTTTCCTTGAAAAGTCGATTTTTGGAAAAACACATCTTCTTGTAGCCCCAAGTGTCCTCTTTCAGAATATGTATAAACTATATAGGAATGGAACATATTTTGCCCAATTTTGGCAAGTTTACTGGACGCTATAATGGAAAATCGGCTGTCTTGTTGATTTTCTTTCTTAATTATCGGTAACTAATATCGTTCTACCTTCTTTATTAGCACTCTAAAACCATTACCGTATCGAGTAATCATGTTTTGGATGTTGCAGTCTTATAAGAAAGGTTCAAAATTAGGCTATTTTTCGAAAAGATGGCGCTACAGTGAACTTGGATTCAGAAATTAGCTTAAGAAATCGGCTTATTTTTTTCTTGAAAATACTACCAACTGTAAGAACTTTTTGTGCGCTTTTCAGTGATATATAATATGCTCGAATTCTCTCTGCAAGAAGATCATCAACTACGTCGCAATGTTGTTATTCGTTTTTCTCAGCTTCACTTTTTTATCGTTTTCTGACCATTGCGGAACATTTTCCCAGTTCACCGCTTGATGTACTCTGCTGATTTTTATTTATTTAAAAGATGAGACTTTTTTCTAGAAATTGTCGGAACAGATTTTCAAAATATATCTCCATTGTTTAGATATTTGAAAATCTTTGAAAGTGCTCAAAGCAGTTTTTGCGATTTTCTGTTTAAAATGATTACTACAATTGAACGAAAACGAATTTCAAAAAACTGTTCCTACAATTTCTAGATAAAAGATTTTTCTTCATTTTGAAACAAAGTTCAACATTTTTCATGCTACCGCGCATCGGGAAAATGTTCCGTGCCAAAACCCCCGTTTTCATGAGTAAATTGAGTATAGCTTCTTAATTATCAAAAATGATTGGTTGAAATTTTTATCAGATGCTAGTTACATTAGCTTTTCTATTTCCTGAAATTTTCATCGAAATCTGTTGTATCGTTTAGAAGATAGGTTTCGGAGGGGGGGTTCCCCCTTAATGCGGTATTAAATTTTCTAATGCAAACGAGGGTCGAAATCTTATCATACAATAAAGAATACAGGAAAACGAAGCAAATATCAGCTTACATGAAGCGATCACTACACACAACCTATATTTACATACTGCACAATAAAATAAATGCAACACATGTTTATTTTGGTTCCTTGCTCTTTTTTGCCAATCGTATACTTGAGGTTATGCAATGTGTGTTATAACGAAAAAAACACTGTGCATTGATGATTACTACTAATGTATTAATATAAACCATATATCAAAGATTTCAGTGACATAAACACCATTATGAAGAATAATATGACAAAGTGTGTGTACTACACAGCGAGAAAGTTTTGTTTATCAGGATATAGAGTAATTCTTAGTTCGACGGTCACAAATTATAGAATGAAAATGATTTTGATCTATAATTATTGATTCATGGTTGATTACAATCACATTACTTAAATTTCCGTAATGGAAAGTTATTCCTGCCGGTTTTTGCAAACTTTTACCGCCCATTTCTTTTTAGTTTTGTTTTTCTAAAGTTATTCAGGGAATGAGTTCTAAATATTTACTGACGAGATTTCTACAACTTTAACAGCGCATCTATGCAAAGAATGGAATTATGAATATTTTACGACTAAATATCGTCATATTTTCCGAGTTGAAAAATAAGATTATTTTTGCTTGATTGATAGCTTTGCTGAAAATGAATGTAATACTTATGTAGTGTGAACTGTTTTATGTAAAAGTATATAAGTATTGAATGAGATTACTGTTTTACTGTTTATTATAATTGAACAAACGAGAAAATCTACTTTTTTTTCTCTTCTCTAATAAGAGCAAATATTTACATCGAACTGATATTACGGAAATGGTTCATTGGATTGATAGGGAATCTAGAATTTTACGAAAGGAAGACGATCATAATCATCAAATCTCTTCTCAAGTACTTTAGCGACGATGCCAAGGTTTTTTTGGTCAGAAAGAGTTGAGCCCCTCTTCACTCTGTTGTAAAATCACCATTAACAACAAATTTAAATATTTTTCCGAAAGTAATGGAGCTCAGCTATCCTCTGCCTATCTTATGGCGTCGTTAATAGCTCATTTTTGAGTGTTTTATACTGAGAAAAATCGAAAAAAATTTGGAAAGAAGAGACGACTGCCTTCTCTGAAACCGCTAGTGGATTGAGTATCAAATATGTATTCTTTTCGTGTCAGACATTAAATAATATCTTTTATTTATTTTATTATGAGTGTTTTAAATACGTTATTAAGAAACAATGCTTCCAAACTTATATTAAAAACATACAGTGGCTTATCGTAATAAACGAATTAACCTTCTTGTTGACAAAATGACATATTGTTAAGTAGTATAATTTTTCTCTTCTAATGATAATATTCTTGTTAACTTTTTTGTGTTTTTATATTATATTATTTGTCGGTTAGATAAATGCAGATGCTTGACGATGATATACAATTGACGTAGGAAGAAAGAGAGATAATTTTCGCTATAGGATACGTATGATCATCATAACAGGGATAGAACAACCAGTCTGTCAGTCACCTTTTCCGTCATTTTTGTTTTTTCCTTTTCTGCATCATCTATACATCACCATGTCGAAAATCAACATTGACGCGTACGATATAGTGATCTTTTCCATCCTGAAATGCACTCAAGGTTTTTTCTTTTCTTATTATATATATATCCTTCGTATTTCTTTTTTTCCTTATACCAAATAGTCACAATAGACATTAGGAAAATAACAGTCATCTTCTTGAAATAGAACAATATTCACATCGGATGGCTGATGTAAGGTTTATTTTCATGGATATATATTTATTTTTTATTTATATAAATTGAATTTTTAGAAAAGAGCAAAAAAAGCTGCTCAACGAGCTACTAGTAATGTTTTTACTATGTTTGAACAAAAACAAGTCCAAGAATTTAAAGAAGCATTTGGTTTAATGGATCAAGATCGAGATGGGTCGATTTCGTTGGATGATCTAAAAGAAGTTTATTCATCTTTAGGTAAAGCACCAAAAGAATCTGATCTTAAACAAATGCTTGAAGAAACTGGTGGACCGGTGAATTTTACAAAATTATTAACACTTTTTGGTGATCGACTTAATGGTACGAAAAAAAAAGAAAATAATTTAATTAAAGATCTTTTTTTTTCTTATTTGTATCTTAGGTACTGATGCTGAAGATATTTTAATGACTGCTTTTAAAACATTCGATGAAGATACAAAGGGTTTTCTCTATCGAGACAAGTAAATCATTTCGAAATTCATTTTATTTTTCGATAAGAGAATTCATTTATTTTTAGTCTTCAAGAATTGTTAACTTCTATGGGAAAACCTAATGAAAGGCTATCCAATATTGAGGTAAGGAAACAAACAAAAATAAATTCGTCTATTAATAATTCTTCTTTTAATAGTTCAACCAAATGCTTGAGGGTGCACCAATTGATGCAAAAGGTGTTCTTGATTATGCTGCATTCACTAAACTAATAAAACGTGGCAAAGAAGATGATTAAAACAATATGATTCATTTATTTCTCAAAAGAATTTCTTCCTGTTTGTTTTTCCTCTAGTTTTATTTAATTGTTTTATATAGTTTTAATTAATACATATACAATAGAATTTTATTTAATAGACAAATGGAATAAGTGTATATTTCACATGTGCAATATAATGTTCATAAGCACCTTCTGTACATGTATTTTGAAGTGCTCGATCGAAATAATGTGCTTTGTATATAGCCATGCCGATGATATAAAATGTATAAAGCCATGGTGCTAAATGATTTATACCAGCTGGTAGTGACCAACCAATGACCATAAATATTTCAGCTAGTAAATGAGGATGACGACACCATCGCCAACAACCACTTGTTAGTATTCGTTGCGTATCATTTACCATGACAGAATCAACTAGATTGGTATTGTTCATTGTTTGGAATGCACTAGAAATCCATGAAAATATCTTATTTAATAAATCTTGTGTTTTTTTTTGTGGAAAAGAATAAAAATTATTTTTAAAAAGTTCATTTACGTGCGTTGACGCATAGCTAGACATTGTAATAAGAAACCAAGGATAAAGAGTACGACAGCCAGAAAAAGACTATATGTATGAACTGGTCGATTGCTGCTTCCAATATAAAACTAAAGTAAAAAAAAAACAAGTTTTGTTTTTGGAATCATTTTTTATTATAGAAACGTTAGGTTTTAGAAAATTCTATAAACCTCCTACAGAATAGAAGTCTAGTCTCAAACTTATAATCCTTCAAAGATAATAGAAGCCCACCGTATTCGAACAAGCATAGCATAGCAATGTAAATCATCGAATAGATTAATTCATCGTTTTTCACTATTCATCTTGTTTGTTCTACATGTTTTTTATTGACGAGCAAAACAGTTTATTTCTTGAGTCAGAAAGCATGTATGCATGGATATTATGGAATGATAGCTGATCAGGAACTGATGAGTAGAAAATAAGCATACTTCAATACCATTCCGTTATAGGATTACATACAGGTTAGAAATAAAACTACGTAAGTCTTTATTAAGATAACAGACATATGAACAAATCTTTAACTGAAAAATGAACGATCTCAAAAAGCTGAACGATCATTGGTTGAAATTACGTCAGAGGTTTTCTAGCTCAAGAACAAGTACCAGTAGAAGATAAGTACGATATCTAGTATTGAAATACTTATATGATCTTAGCTACATATTTCATAAAACTGAGAAACAGTTCTATGATAGTTACAGATTTACTTTATAATTCCTTCAAGATAACTGAAATATATCATCTCATATTTCTGAACTATGCATAAGCTTCTAAGATGATGTCAACTGGCAGAACTGTATAGAGGTTTTTTTCGCAACTCGTCCAAAGCTCGATAGTTTCTCAGAACAGAATATTGCAATAAGCGTCGTTTAACGTATCTATATTAAGATCCATGAAGTACTGTTGACAGATGAATGTTTAAATGAGAAAAGTAGTACAATGAACGCATCATTCAGGTTATCTAATATCAAATAAAAGTCCATTTTTGAGTCATCCGTGATTATCATAGCTCGTATCAAAGTTCTCATTTACTTTTAGAACAATACTTCGTCAAATCATATGCACTTCTGTGCTTGTATGCGAGTCCATTCTATGTAGAAAAGAACTTATATAACAATCGAACATACAGAAGTAAGTGTTGCCATGAAAGGTACCCAACAGAGGTTAGTAAAAGTTGCATCGAACGATGATGGAGGTGAAATATCTAATGATTGACGTATCATTGAAGTTTCATTAACAAATACATTAATAATATAGATAGTTTGAAGAAGAATTGAAAGTGCAAAACGTATCGATATTTGACGATTATATTTGAGAATAGTTAAGAATAAAAGAAGATTAAGTGCTGGCCAAAGAATAATACCTGGACGAATTGAAAGAAATAAATGAAAATCAAATTGAGTTCGTTTTTGATTATGATCAATCCTATCATTAAATTACGCTGTTTAAATTATATGTAGAATTATATACTTACTCATTGATAGATATTGAATAATAATGAGAAAATAGTTTATTAGTTAATAAAATAAGACTAAATGTAAGTGCAATCCCAAGGCAAAATAAAGCTAATAAGTAATACGATTTTGTTAGTTCTCTTAGAGGAATTTTTTCTCGAAACACAAACATTAACAAACACGTAATTATAAAAGCCAATAAACTATTTGCACGATGTTTATAATAAATATTTGGATGAGATTCTTTCATATAAGTAAGTTGTTCTCTACCAATATGTGGAAAATATCGAGCAAAAATTAATTGTAATATAAACCATAATAAAAGATATTGAATAACAACAGTAGGATATTGTTGAAATAGAGTACGATTTGATGATCTAGTTGATCTATCTAGATCAGGATTATGATAAAAACTATATTGGATGTATAAAAATATAGCTATCCAACTAAGAGAAATAATTATTGAATTAAATGTTAAAGAACGATCAACAAATATTTGTTCATTATGCATAAGACTAATTTCTTTTGTTGTACGTTGAAATTTTTCGGGTAAACCAACATATTTCGACGGTAAAGCAACAACACTTTCATCCAAAAATTGACAAACATAATTATTATCATCAGTATAATCAATAATACGAGCTTTATAATAATTTGATGTTGATGGCCATTTAGCCAGTACAAATGTTCCTATTGGAATTAATGACGGCATTAGAGATTTTTTTTTCACTTGTATGTAATATAAATTATATTTATAATAAGCATAGTAATGGCGCGTTTACGTCATTTTTACGAGTCAAACGAATTTAGATGTTGCTGTTTTTTTTTTGTGTTTTCATCAATGTCGAAAAAAAAACATTTCAAAAGATCAAAGTTTCAATACTGAAAGTTTCATTGATAAATAAAAGAGATGAACAAAAAGTTTCGAGACGCTATATTTGAACTATTTTTCGTGTATTTAAATGAAATGGTAGTGTATTAGGATCAGGATTTTGTACTATTTCAGTATATATGCTTAGAGTTTTCTTTTTGTAATTTTTGACTATTGAGCTATAAATAAATCTTGAAAGGAGTTCAAGAGAAACTTTCATAGACATCAAATAAATTTTGTAAATATATAGTACTTGAGAATTCTCTCTAAAAAATGACACAAAAATATATTTGATAAAATTGTGTGACATGCCTTGAACAAGGTTCTTTTTGAGATTTTTTTCTTCAATTGTATTCAAACATGTTGACCATCAGAACTTTAGCTCAAAATGAAACGAATCATCGAAAAAACTTCGTACACTCCCTCACTATTATTTTCCAATACTCTTATCTGTGCTCTTTCTAAGGCCAAAATTGACAAAAATTACTTTTGAGTATTCAGCATCTTAATCGATGGAGATTTTCTTGATTATTCTGAATATGGTTTTTCGTTTCATTTCGAGTTGAAGTTCAGATATCCAACATCTTGGAATACAAACCCCTTATTTATGGTATTTTTCTTGTAGGCCGAAAAAATCGATTTTTTCCTCAATCGAACAATTGTTTTACTAACTATATGACGCGTAAAATTGAACTTACAATTCGAATAAATAGTGAGATTTGATGCTTTTGAGGCATTTCAGTTTTTATAGGCTTTTCTCGTTTGTTTTTAAACATAATTTTCACTACAAAAGTATCATGTAAAAATACCAACAAAGCATTTCTAGACGAAAGTCGACGAGTTCTACCTAACCATGGAAAAAACGGCCGAAAGAATGTTGCTGAAATTTTGCATTGTCGTCATCTTCAAAATTAAACGTTTGTATAAATCCTTCTTTTCTGTAATCAACACGTTTCTTTTTCTTCACTTTATTGACACGACTTAAGATAAATTTCATTATATAACTACGAATCGTAATAATATTTTTTTTTATATGATCAAATATTCATCTGTTATTTTCAGATCTAATAACTCATAGTCACTAATATGATTAATAAAAGTGTTATTAGAAACACAGAAAAGTCAATCTCACTCTGCAACTAAAAAACAAGAATTAAAAGTACCCATATGTGTGTTACATAATTCAATTTCACCTTTGTTATATAACAGTCCGTTGCAAACCGTTCTTATCTATTTCTGTCTTATTACGAACTCATTCTGTCGAAAATAATATTAGTGAATGCATCTTTTATATTTACTAAGCATAATTTCTATTGGATTTGTTTTCTCATGGCCAGATCCACCATGTAGAATACCACCATTAGCTGCTAATTATACTATTGAAAAGGTTGGCATTAATGTTATTTTCATCTAAATTTTTTAACTTGTCTTTATTTTGATAGTATTCTGGTCGATGGTTTGAAATTGGTAAAATACAAACACCAGGTGGAAGTTTTTTTGAAAAAGGTTGTGTCTGTACACATATTGATGTCAATCCTACTATTGTTAACCCCACCATAGTTAACGTATCAAATATTTGTAATAAAGATTCACCTGATGGTAAATTAATTATTTCGAAACAAACATTAACTAGTTCAATGAATCCTTCAAATGGTCGATATAATGCATCATTTTTACCTGACCTACCTCCTGTCGCTTATAATGTTATTGTTTTGAAAACTGATGATTATAGTGTTGAATATGATTGTATTCATGAATTTGGTATAACAAATTATTGTGTACATATTTTATCGCGTAAACCAACATTAGATGTGACTATTGTTAATAGTATTTTGAAACTTGTACAAGAACTTGATTTAAATATGGCTAAAATTAAATATAAGCAAACACAACAAGAAAATTGTTCATATCCGAAATAAACAATAATAATTTCCTTGTTATTGAATATGATAGTTGGTGATTTTTGAAATATCTGTGCTATTTTTTTTTAATAAATTTAATGAAAAGAATCTTTAGTAGTTTTCTCTTTAAAATATGATGATAATATCAATTATTTGATATTATTACAATATACGATTATATATTAAATTTATTTAATTAAGAATCCAGATAATATACAAATATAAAAAAATTAACAAAAAAAATATTACACCTGTTCGAGAACATCACGTTTAAAAAGTTTGATTAAATGAAATAATTTGAATGTAAGTTTAAGTGTGATAACCTAAAAAGAAAAATAAAATAACGAGTAACTCATAAATAATTGCATCCTGGATATTTTTAAAATTTATTTTTAATTTTTTACTTGGTGAAATAAATCGTTTTTTTATAAAAAGATACCGCTTGAAATTCTGTATAAAATCATATATAATACAATTTAAAAATTGTTATAAATATATTTGAAAACAGATGAAAAAGCATGACAATAGTAAGAATGAATCTGCAAAATTTTATCATTATTCATGCAGTGTATTTTCAACGCGAAGAATTACTTCACCACTAAAAATGATCAATAGCACTAACTCTATCAATTTATTGCATTATCCCAGTCGTCCACATAAAATTCAAGCAAAAGTGAATATCTCACAGGTGAAGTGGCGCCTACTTATCAAGGAATGGGTGTTAAGAAGAGAACAACCTGCTGAAACAAGACGCATAAGACTGTTATCGCATGAAGATCTTAATTACTTCCTATAATGGAACATCAAAGAGTCCATCGTAACTGATCTACACAAATAAGAGCAGGCTAATATTGCAAACTGTATGTTAAAAGAATGTTTTTAAAGTTCACAAATGTTGTCTCCGTAAAGAAAAAGGTGTACATGTTAGTTTTGTGCGTTCACACTAAAGAAATATTAGCCACGAAATCTACCTGATTTATATTCATTAATTTGTAGTGTTTATGAAATAAACTGTCCGAAACTATAAGTGGGAACTACATAGCAACAAAAGCAATATTGATACACTAAATAACACATTCTACCTAAAAACAAGTTGAAAAAGATAAAATGTACATTCTCTATTGATTTTACTCTACAATTACGTTTGATCCCGATAATATAGACGCGACTATGTGTGTAAATTTAAGTTACTAATTTGTTCAGAATTTCAAGAACTATCTGTTTATTTAAGAAAAAAGGTACACCGATCAAGCAAAAAACAGAGAAGAAATTTTGAAAAGATTCAGATTGCAATCATTTATGAGTCACTCGTTATTATAATATTCAATGAGATAAAATCGAAATAAAAATTTACCATTAAGATAGCTTGAAGTGTAGACATGATTGTAATAATTAAGCCAATAACAAAAGCAATTTTCGTTCGTTGATCATGCGATGGATTTTTTACAATAAAGATAATATTTAGAAAAATTTCTGCACATAAAAATATATATTGTAAATAACCTAACCAAGCAAACTATAAATAAAGATAATACATTTAGTATTAAAATAAATAGAAAAAGAATTCGTACAACATATATTCCCAAATGGTGATATCGATATACAACGGTCAAACCACATCCATAATAGACAATTGATAAAAATATTAGTCCGAGGGAACGTATTCCTTGTCGATAATTATCATCTTTATCTTTAATTAAAAGACGACTATCAATCATAAGAAGAATTGTACATAAAATCTAAATATTCTCATGTGTTTTGATCAATTTAAAAAAGGCAGAAAGTCAAAAAACTCACTAATTGAATAAATAAAAGAATAAGAATAATTTTTCGCCAACGACAAACTTTTGGATTTGTATATAATGATGATGATAATAGGTGACTTTCACCAGTTTCTCTTACTATTATTGATGCATTGTCTGTCAGTCTTTGATACTGCATGATATAACTTGTTTTGCGTCACTAATATTCTATGTGGATATATGTACATTTTGGAGGATATTTATCTTTTTTTCTTTTTCTTTGCACATTCTCTCAAAAACATTGTCAGAATGTATATGACTACAAACGGAGTCATGTAGCTCGATTTCTAAAAGAAAGAACAAACAAAAGAAATACAGATAAGTATTCTGAATGGTATGTTCGTTTGTTTATTTTCTTTGAAATAATATCTTGTATATCTATGCTCATTTATTAATGTTAACAATAGAACAAAAGAAATATAGCACAGTAATATTTAGGGAATAGGATTAGTTTGAAAATGTTTAATTGATTGATAATAAAAGATTTAAATCATTTTGAGACATTTCATTTAAAAATTCTTCATAAACTTTTTGTCGATTTTGAGTACGTTGAAGAAATTCATCATGTCTTTTCAATGCAAGTCGTGCAAATTTAACTGCTATAGGTTGTAATTCATAACGATGTTGTTTAATAATATCTTTTCGTTCTTGTTCATTTGGTATAAGAATAAAATGTGTATTACCAGCTATTTTTTCATTTGTGTATTCTAATGATATATCAACAGATGTTTGAGATATTATTGTAAGAAGATCAATTGTACGTTCAATTTCGATAACTTTTATTTTAAGTAAATTAATTATTAAATCACGATATTTATCAATATCAAGTTGAATGAATTGTTCTAAAACCCAATTAAATTGAAGAAGAAAATCATTGATAGCATTTTCAGCTTGAATTGATATTTGAATAAATAAATCATTAAAAAGAGTCCATTGAGTTTTTATATCTTCTATTTGTAACGTAAGACTAATATCAGATGTTACCTCCGTTATTAAAGAATCTAATTCAATAAGAAGATCTTTTACTTGTTCCATTTTTATTCTAGGATTTTTCAGTATGGTTAAACTTTCATTAACTATGTTTTCACCTTTTTTAAGTAAATTAGGTAGATATGTACTAATGGAATCATTGTTTCCT